TCTAAAAAGCCACTATCGCTACCAATATGAGTTACGATCACTCTTTGACCTTTCCCTGACGGTCCACGAAGACCTGTTGACAAACCTTCAATGCTTGCTTGTCGGTTACTCACTACGTTTTTGTCTATCCAGGTTTTTTTAACTGTGTGACCTGCATTTACCCATGTCTCGTCCAAATAATAGATTTTTCTGCTTTGTCGCCTATATTCAATCATTTCGCGTAGGTATTTTCGACGCCAGGCGACTATTTCAGGTCTCTCTATCAATACTGACTTCCGATTCATTACCTCGACGCTCATTTGGGGTATAATTTCATTTTCCTTGATCGCTGCATGTACAGCCTTGAGGGTTGGTATCTCATTCCTAAAGAAGAATGAATGTACGGTTCGCCTTAACGCCCTTTTGCTATCGTCATTCAATTTAACGGCCTTTCGTCCCTTCAAATTAAACTTTGGATCAGTAGTAGCTCCAGTTTTCTTCTTTTCATGCACCACCCTGCGAATGGTCCACTCTGGAATGCCTGTCATACTTTCACAACGCGCGAGTGCATCTCCCTGCGACATAGTTCTGTTCAGATAATTGAACACGTTGAGCACGATTTCTTTCGCGTCCCTCTTCAGTGCTTTACGAAGCCGTCTACTTGTTCCCTGGCTTTCAGTACTTCCACTCGTGCCATTTGTACTCTCCATGGTTAAGTATAACCAAAACAGTAACCACAGAAACCACAACAATAACAATCACACAACAATTCTTATAAAAACACACAATATGCGATCGCTCAACGAAACACGTTCCAACGCGTTGCCGACGCCTATGAGTCTGCCGGTCGAGGCGCGTCTTTGATTTCAGTGGTTCTACGGGCGGAGAACAATCAGCCATTATTTCCATCTCTGTCTGTGCTGTTGACCACCGCAAAGCCACAGAAACGACATATGTCGTACGCTATACGGCTGTACTGGAAGGAAGCCGGGATCGAGCTCTGATCACGTGTTGATCACGCGTATGAGTCATTACAGTTTTAAATAGTTGTAGTATACCTAAAGACAGGTCGCAGGACGACGTGCTTCTGCTCCCCTGATTACTCATTGCCGACGGTCGGTTTAATAACTGGTCAGTCAGATTCCCAAACAGAGATTGAGAGATGAATTTTTCTATGGTAGGTCAAATATATTTGGTATTCAATAGACAAGCCAAAAATTGAAATGATTATGGAGTATATATATATATATATACAGGTATATATACAGGGTGACTTTGAAGTTGAGTCATTAATTTTCAGATAATGATTGTAGAAGGAAGATAAACCAAAATATGTGTGTAAAAATAAAAAAAAATTGTTTACCTTGTTTTATAAAGTATCCTCCCGACAAGTATTTCAGTGCGAACCTGTATTTGATCGTGAGGTCCCCTGTGAGGTCTTAAGTCACCTGATTCACGAGCCCGTTGTACTACATTAACAAAGGCACGAGGGGTTGGTTGCACTCGATTGGGAAACCGATCCGCATAAACATGTGCCATTTTTTATTTCGTTTGAGCCACGCAACAGATACCACTATTCACTGACACTGACTGTATACAAATGAATGAAATGATTGTAAAAACATCGTTCCAAATTCTTTCGCTTTTTTGTTTCCGATGCGATGAACCGATACGGCGGATTATATCCGTTGTCGCCAAACACGACCACATAATATTATTATTGAGACAGGGCGGTACTCAAACTTCCAAAGGGCTATAACTTTGTTACTTTAATTTTACCAGAAAAATGGTAAAGGAAAAAAAACATTTCTTTTGATCAGATCTACTCACTGTTGAAATAAATGACTCAACTTCGAAGTCACCCTGTATATACCTATATTATACAGGGTGTTCCATAATTATTGCGACAAAATGATAGGGGTTGTAGAGGGCATCAAAATGAACAATTTTGCCTTATAAACCCCTGTTCGGAAATATGCCGTTTGGGATGCAGCAAAAAAAAAGATCAGTTTCTTGAAACAGCTTACCTACAGTAATTGCTCAAAGTGTCCTCCACCTTGCTCAATACACAGCTGTGCACGATTGTTCAATGATCGGCGAACTCTGTGGCATACCCCCGGTATGTCCTGAACATGTGCGGACGCGGCCATCACTCTTCCCAGTAGCTCTTGTTGGTTGGGAACAGTAGTTTCGTACACTAAAGCTTTCAGATGGCCCCAGAGAAAATAATCCAGTGGGGTCAGGTCGGGTGACCGCGCAGGCCAAGGCACAGGGCCACCTCGGCCTATCCACCTATTTGGAAATTTGTCGTCCAAATACTGCCGCACTTGTAAAGAAAAGTGGGCTGGAGCGCCATCGTGTTGAAACCACGTGTTGGCTCTTATGTTCAGTGGCACATTTTCTAATAGTTCCGGTAGCACATGCTGTAAGAATCGACCATAAGCATCCCATCCAAACGTGGTGGAAGCAAATATGGCCCGATGATATGCTCGTCCACAATGCCGCACCAGATGTTAATTGAAAACTATGTTGGTCTCTATGGATGGCTATGGCATGACTGTTTTCTTCATCCCAAATGTGACTGTTACGGCTATTAAAATAACCGTCCTTTGTGAAACAGGACTCGTCAGTGAACATGGAGAACCCGCCAAGCAGTAGTTTGAGACGCTCTCATTTCATGTGCATTAGCACGCACGCTTGTACGCGGATTGGCCTCTAGTTTGACGCACCACTCAGATAAATTAAATGAATCGGTGTGAAGAATTTACGATAACAAAAATGTAAACACAGCAGGCTTTTTTTTACAAATCGGCGAGACCATGAAATGTGCTAGACGAACATTTTGCAGCTGTTGAATTTTTTGTTTCTCTTAAGGTAAAATTAGCGGTAGTGCTCAAACGGCATATTCACGAACAGGGGTTTATAAGGCAAAATTGCATATTTTTATGCCCTCTACAACCCCTATCATTTTGTCGCAATAATTATGGAACACCCTGTATATCGAAGCAGTCGCGCAGGTAGGAGCCTAAATGCGGAAACACCGCGGCTGCTATGATGATCCCAAAGAAATTTTGTTAATACGATTTTTGAACTGACTAAGGTTAGTAGAACTGGGAAAAGTTTCCTCTTGTAGATTGTTCCACAGTCTCAAAACTCTCGGGACAAAGGGGCGGCCGTATCGCCCAGTTCTGGATGAACGAAGCTCGACACGGTTAGGATGGGACGTCAAAGTTAGGCGGGTCTATCTGGCAGGCACATCGCGCGGCGGCATCATGGAAGAGTCAATTCCATGCAATTAAAACAAAAATAATATCCTTTAAAATACAATCAAGTAATAAATCAATCTAGAATTCTCAAAAAAAAAAAACAGTTTCTGTATAAATCCATAAACAAAAGTAACAAATAAACAAACACATTCTTATAAGAATCTAATACGGGCCACGTAGCAGTCTGAAAAAATGACATATTGTTATTCAAAATAGATTTCTAGTATACGGTGAAAATGTTTCTGTACTATACGAGTACACTGAAAAAAACCTCCGTCCTATTCCCCCAAGTTGGGAATATCATTTCAGAGCGAAGTCTCACTAACTAAGTTTTTCAAAAAGCTTTGTGAAAACAGTTTAGCTACAGTTTGCTTGCAGTGACAAAAAGCACAATAGGAAAATGAACAAAAAATCAGGCCGATTTTTTTTCTTAGGATGCGGTTGGAGGTAATAATGCTAAATCCACTAAAGGTAAAGGTCAAATAGAAAACTAGGACTTTTTTTCTAGCTACTGTCAATCTCTTTGTGAGCCAAAAACACAAAATACAGCGTTTGTCATTGAGGTGCCGCGCCGCCGACTGCATTAGCATACCCGCTGGTTGTTCCACTTCCACATTCATAAGAAAAAATTACATGGATTACTCTTAATGCCTATTGAAATTTAAAATATCATTTTTTTTCTCAAAAGTTTGGTAGCATTTTACGACTAAAAACAGGATAATTTCTTTAATTAATGCATCAAGTTGTAAATTTAATCAAGAAGGACCCTGGATCCTGAGCCTCCTCCCAGATCTTTTTCTGGATAGCACCACTGGTTGAGCAGTATCTCAATCTGCAGGAAACGATTACTATCGCGAAATCAACCACAAAAGTGACTCCTACAAATCACTTTTATGGGCACCTTTAAAATTTCCGTCATCGGACTAAACTAGGAAGTCACATATGAATAAATTTAATGAATCATAATTGATCATAATTGTTTGTATTAGCATTGGGAGGATTTCTGGAAAAGCAAAAATTTTATATACTTGGATTTCTGCTTAAAGTGGCTGAACCTACCAGTATCTCTACAAAGTAAGAAGCATGTAGACCAGAATGCAGTTTTGTATAGACACGGAAAGTGGTTAAACTGAATACGGGTGAAATATTTTTCAGAGCTAATGAAATTAGTTGCAAGAAGGATAAATAGCCAGCGCTAATTTCGTAAAGTAAACGTTTTTCATATTTACATTTTAGAAGAGAATGTTCAGTTTCCAAACGTTAGGTAGCCTAGCACTTACGGCTTGTCTATTCGATACCAAAGATCCAACCTACCATATCAGAATTAATCAAACAACCTGCTTCTGCCTGAATATTGAAATATGAAGGAAATATTTTGCTTTTGAAAAGCCTGGATATATATTACAAATAAAGATGTAATCTTCTTTGAAAATCACACCATATTGAGAATTTAATTAAACCTGCACCTCATCAACAGCAATAGCCCACCGCCACTGGAGACAACTCAATCAAGCCACGCGCCTCTATAGAATGCGGTTCCTTTTATCTATAATTTATTGCTCGGACATTACCTTCCAGTATCAGTAATGCTTTTTAGACTGTCTTCGGTGCTAATACAACCTTGCAGTTTAGTATTTTGGGAGGCCAGAAGATGAAGGAGGTATGTGCAACTTTGATTGCAGATTTTTGTACATATTTGCTACTTTTTCACTCTACTGTACACAATTTTTAGCTATACTGGTTATGTTGTTTTAGGTCTGTAAAGAAAGAGGCAGCCAAGGAAGAAGCAAAAAAACAGGAGATGAGGGACCTGCAGAGTACTATTGGGGAGCTCTTCATTCATACCGAGGAACATGATGCACAGATAAGGGAGCTCACAAGGAAAATACATGACATAGGTACCAATGTAGGAACATAATAATTATAGTTCCAAATCAGTATGCTCCATAATTGAGTTGTGTTAAAATTGTTCCTTCTCACGTTAGTATAGCTTTTTCTCTCAAACTCTATCTCTCTCTCTCACTTTCCCTAAAAAAGGTAATCATATTTATAGTTTTAATGCTTTTATCTAGTCTCATTCTCTTGTAGTCTAAGCTAGATGGTTGTAAAGTGCTCTACAGCAATGCAAGTTTTAACCAAAAAGAAGGCAATACGACACAAATTTGATATTTAGTTTTACATCATACGTCAATGAGTAATGGTAAAAATTTCCAAATTACTTTGGCATTTCATGATATACCCTAAAACTATGGATTGCTTGTTCCAACATCGGTTGTAGATTGTTTCAGCATGTTGCGGGAAAATAGATGTGTTCCATCTTTTTTACTTTATTTTATACTCTCTAGTCTTCTGCACATTATTAATTTTCAATGACACAAAAATACGAAAAACATAGTGATTATTTTCATCTACACTGAAAAAGCGTTTAGGATGTCAGCATACAGATTGGATATTCCGATTTCTTTTCTGGTTAGTAACTACTTACAAACTTTTTCAAATGACTGTACAATAACCCATTCCAAGCTTTGTTGCTTTGTTAGTGTCCGTATAGCGGTTATTTAGATTGCAATTTGCCAAGAAAACCAGAACGTCAGGTGGGTTATCGCCAATGAGTGAAACGCTAAAGCACCTATTTTTCAAGCCACAATATTTTCCAGAAAATTCTATTTGTCGTATATCGCTTAGAGAGTGAAAATAATGATCTGAATCACCCTGAATATACACGATTACTCTATGCCATGCTAAACTAAGCATTACTCTGTAGAAATCAATGAAAGATATGAAACCGGTTCAGATGAACCAGCCTCCAGTAGCCCTTCTTCTCTTTATCCGTATTCCTTGGTAGCCTCCTGACAGGAAATCAAAAGCAAAAAAGCCTAATGTATAGGGGCATGTACGATGGTGTATCTATAAAGTTGAAGGGTGTATGTAAAGCACGCTAATAATATGCAAAGCAGCCTGGTTTACAAACTATGGAGATTAGGACTAATGATTTTTCATTTTATTTGTCATCATATCATGGCTTCTAAGAGTGGTTTTGTTTATATTAAAACTGACTGCTGACTGTTGTTTTTTTGCCAAAAAAGCTGATTGAAAAACAAGATCACCCATATTTGAACCTAACAAAAAAGTTTAGCCTGAAAAATGGCGGCTATATAGATAAATATTTTGGTGGACAAATCATGATCAGCTGTCCCTCCCAGCGCTTGAAAATCTTCATTCCAACCATGGTTAATGATTTGTATGACTGCGTATGGTGAAGTATATATGAAGAAACAGACTTCGTTGAGAAAACAAACCAAGTAATTTTGCATATAAATACGAAATGTCCACCTATAAACAATTCATCCATAAAATTTTCATGATTTATTTATGACAAAGGCAGATTTTAGGATGAAGGGTCTCGGTGGTTTTTACTATAAGTACCTACTTTAAATCATCGTAACACATGGCAAGAAAAACAAGGACTCTTTAAAGTGTTTTGGAGGGTACTCCATGTAAAATTGCTCTAAGAATTCAGGTTGCTACGCTCAAACCTATCATTATTATTGTAAAGTCTCTATCAAGGTCTTTTGATACACCTGGGCGTGTATGGTCAGCTTATAAGAGGAAGGATCTATATATCGGCAGGTCGTAGTGTGTCTGTTTCCCTCATTCTAATCAGTGTTGCCAGGTATAGCCTGTTTTTGACTAATTTGTGCAAAATTTTGATTTCGATAGACAAATCAATACCGATGATTAAAATTAAAATTTTGATTGTGTTCTCGGTTGAGAGGGGGGGCTCGTAAGAAAACTGAAGACCGAGGGGTGCACCAAATCCCTGAAATCGAAAAAATGCTCTGTTCATGAGTTACATTGATATCATAGATCTACTATTTAACAGTTTGACAGATCTTACCGTAGATTTCGCATTAAAATTAGTAGTTCGGTAGAACAGGACTAAAATAACGGTAGATCTACCGAAAAATTGGTAGACCTGGTAACATTGTCCCTCTTGGCCAGAAAATATAACTTTTGACTTTGACGTGTCGCGCGGCCGACGGCATTAGCGCACCCGCTGGTGGTTCTACTTTTATAAGAAAAAATTACATAGATCAGTATTAATACCTATTGACATTTGAAAGAAACATGTTGTCACTCAAAGGCATGGTACTATTTTATGAATAAACAGGATGATTTCTTTAATAAATGCGTCAATATGACAATTAAATCTGGATCGATACAATCACAAAGACATTCGAGAGAAACGTTGAACTCTTTGAACTAGGCGCATATAAACAAATTCAAACATTTCGTATTTGTGGGTAATTGAAGAGATGCTCTACGATATTCGAAAAATATTGGTTATTATACATATTTTAAAACAAAGCTGATGTGTCATCACCTTTTGTTGGGAAAAAAAATATTTTTCAAGACTTCTTCATACTCTTGTGTATACCTATTTAGAGCTGACATTTTTACACGATCACAGATGAGCCATTAAAGTTTATAAAAAATAATTTCATACTAAAACGCACGCAAACTCAAGACACTATTTTTTCAAACTGTCTTAGCCTAGTTAGTATGTAGTATGGTCTGCATGGCTACATTATTGATGGCTGCATGCTAAATGTCAAGTAAGTAGGTCATGTAATCCAGCTTCTTTTCGAAGACATATAGTTTTCTTAATTTTTTTCTAAAAGTTTTGATATAGTATTCTTTTGTTTTTGAAATCTCGTACCATTAAAACCACCATGTTAGACCAATCTGCCGATCCAAATATGTAAGCCCAATCTTCCAATACGACGTATTTATTGTTGGACGTTAACAGTTATTCTTGATTGAAAGTTTGCAGTTATTCTTTTATATAAACTTCGATGACAAATATTTATGACGAGCTGTCCGAGCGATAACAACATTCGTCTCCACGACGACTGATCCGCATGCTTGGTGAGCATAGTATATGAGGAAGAATACGCACTCTATCCTTGAGTTAGTCTAAGGTCTAAGGTCTTGTTAAGAACTACGAGTTCAAAATGTTGGAAAATAAACTACAGGAAGCTGAAAAATAATAGACAAATATTAACTAATTGTAGCTAACTGACCGCCTGAAAAATTAGGTATTACTGCTTAAGACATTATCAAAAGTTTCAGTATTGTATCTTGTATAGTTTTCAAGATTACCCTATTTATTTTAAACAGATTTGATGTCGTGGTGTAGTGGAAAGGAGAAGGGTTACAGAACCGCAGGAATCCACAAAGCTTCCTTTTTTCTAATTATTTTTTTTAATTCGCTAAAATAAATGCATTATCACCTTATAGCTAGGTATAATCAGCATTCTGTAATTTTGTTCTCATAGAATTTACCAATCAGAATTTTGTACAGCAACATTGAGACACTGGTATCTCGATATTGTATCAGATTTGTGTCCATGCTTCGAATATGAATGAAAGAATGAATGAAAACAAATCTAGGAAAAAAATGTTTCGTGAAAAGTTAAGGAGGTGCGTTGATCTGCTTTTCAGTGTTCAACTTTTCATAAAAAAAAAATCCTAGATTTCAGAGAGTAGCGCGCACCGTGCACGACAGACTTATTTTTCTGGAGGTGTAAGACCGTTTGTAACTACGGAGTAAGAGTGAACGCTGCGCAGTCAACTACCTATAAAATAAATATAGGTGCAGCTCAGGGATCTGTATTGGCACTACTTCTTTTCATCTTATTTATAAACGATCTGAAGCTCTCACGTGCAGTAGTGAACTACGCTGATGACACATCGGCCGTAGTAACTGCAGGTTCGCCTGAAGATCTGTACATTAACATTGGAATCATAAAATCTGAGATGGAAGTGTGTGCCAAACAAATCGCCTGATCTTGAATCCTGACAAGACGGTAGTTGTTCATTTTTTCTCTAGTACTCCACGTCTCATTAACAGTACTATCTCAGACTCTACGACCTTCCTGGGTATTGAGTTGGATGCAGGATTAAATTGGAAGCAACAAGTTGACAGTGTATGCAGGAAAATGAATAGGTCCTACTATGCGATATTGAAATTAAAGCCAAATGTCCCCAAATCAACGCTGATAGATGTGTACTACGCCATGTTGTATTCGCATCTGTCAAATCACACCATCGTCTGGGGACAAGTATGCACCGCGTCCAGAGTGTTTATTTTGCAGAAACGTATTGTAAGGCTGATATTTAACATTAAAAGGAGAGAATAATGTAGAGCAATATTTCAGCATAATAACTTGCTAACGCTTCCGGGTATATGTATTTATAAATGCGCCTTCTACACCTTCAATCACAGGGGTCAGTTTCCGCAGAACAGGGACTTAAACACGAACTACAACACTAGAGCGAAACATGACTTGAGTAAACCTTCGCATACACTGTCAATGTTCGAAAAATCACCAGCCTACGCCTGCACCAAGGTATTCAATAAGTTGCCATCAATACTAAAAGATATTAGATGCCCAAATAGGTTCAAGAAAGAGCTGAGGAACCTGTTGATAGAAAGATGCTACTACGCAGTAGCTAAGTTTCTTTCAGGGTAAGAGTGATGCTCCTAAAAATTAAATAGGAAGCTATGGCTGTATATATACAGGGTGTCCGCAAAGTTGGGGTTTTCCTTTTCAGAAACAACTACTCTTGAAATAACAAAGGTAATGTGTAGTGAAAGAGAGATTCTCGTCTACGCGATTACCTCTACATGCTTGACCGTACCCATCGGTTGAAGGTTGCATACTGACCTGACACACTGACCCCGACCCAGTTCTGCCGTCGCGTTGAGACCTTGTACCAATTTGTGATGTCCCGGGTCGCGGCGACAGGACGGTATTCAGATATTTTTGATGTTGCAGAGCCCTTTATCTCGGTTCCCTGAAGACATTGGTGTATATGGTACTAAGAAAAATTG